AAAAAATGAAAAAGAGAAAACAAGGTTTAGCTATGTATTTAAGGAGTAGCTATTCTCAACAAGAGCTGAACTAGAGGCTATTTGAATAGCATCATTAGTAGTACCAGAAGATGCAGAGATAATAATATATACAAATAGCCTTGCTTTTATATAGGTGCTTAAGTACAAAAACAGTATAGAAAAAGAAAGAGATGTATTTAAATTTAAAAATACAAGTCTTATATAGCAAACTTAAAGAATATAAAAAATGAAAAATCCCAGAATGTAGCTAAAAATAGTGATAGATTGGTCCATCCTGGTCTGTTCTAGTCTCTATAGAACCAATTTAATAGTATTAATCGGTCTGGTCCATCTGTCTTTCGGTTTTAAAATTGGTCTTACGATAAGAATTTTTTTAATATTTATTGTAAATATTTAGGCTACAAGACACATACATTCTTATCATTATATTTTATTAATGCGACATATATAGATATATAAATATATATTAAATATTTATTGTAAATATACTATTGTTTTTTTATATGAAGCAAATTTAATAAAACAAATTTAATAATGCAAATTTAATAAAGCAAATTTAATAAAGCAAATTTAATAAAACTAATTTAATAAAGCTAATGTAAAGTATAATAATTTAATGCAATAACACAATTACAATAGTTTTCTAATTGTCCAAAGTGCAAATTTCTTTTTGAAACCAACTCTTTAGACACAGAATTGCTCTAGCAGATTTATTATCTAATCGATTTCTTTTGTTTAAAATAGTTAGACCGGCTACAGAGAATGCCTGTTCTGAAGCCACGCTGATGGCTTGTATAGACAAATAGTCTCTTGCAATTAAACTTAAAGTAGGATAATTCTTCTGCACTTGCCACTACATTAATGGATTCGAATTATCTTCTAAAGGCAATAATAAATACTTTTTTAGTTCAGTTCATAGATTATTTGATAATGTATTTGCTGGTAATATACAAGAATCAGAAGAAGCATTAAATGTAGTGAAGCTAGATGATGTAGATAGAATGAAAGAAGTAGGATAAGTTGGTTAGGTGAATGAAATTGAAGAATCAGAAGAAATAGGATAGGCAGAAGGAATAGAATAGAATACGTGAAAAAAATATTAAAAGTGACTGTGTTGTTATTTTGTAATGACTAGAAATAGTTTCGTGCATTAATAAAATTATCTATAAAAGTAATTACTGGTGATTGTGATTTTAATTTATATCTCAGAAGATTTAAAATTAGTTGCTTTACTTAGTTTTTTTCTATCTCATTGCTAAATGTGGATAATTTTATATTCGGGTCTAATAAAAATGAGACTTGTGATGCTTTATCCATAATTAGCCAATATTTTTTTAATTTTTTATAAATTGCATTTGCTATTTTAGGCTATATAAATCTTTCCATATTTGAATATCAAATCAAATATTCTTAAATTTCAAAAAAGACAAACCAAATAGCCCCATGTATTGGATATCAGGATGCGGAAAGATAACAAGTAGCATATTCGAATGGTTTTAAAAGAAATATTGTATCATTGATATTGATACAATCTTCTCTACTAGGATATCATTGGTTAATTAATAAATTATCAGTAGAAAGTAATTTTAACGCAAGCTCTATTTTTTTTCATTTT